GGGGGGGGGGGGGGGGGGGGGGGGGGGGGGGGGGGGGGGGGGGGGGGGGGCACGGCCGGGCGAGTGGCTATCACGGACGGGAGACGGGCGGCCTACAACGCGGCCATCACTGTATGCGGCAAGGCTGGGAGGTGGGATCGCGCGCTGGGCTTGCTCGAGGTGAGAGGGATCACGTCGTTGCCGTGGCGATCGCCTGTCTCTGTCTTGGGTGCTGCTCTGACGTCCGAGTGTTGTATTTTTTTAGTGTGTCTTGTGTGTGTTCATTGTTTGCTCTGCGCTAGCCTGTTGGCATTGCCGCGTTATCTTTTTCGGACTAGCGGGAAGACGTCAGCCTCAGTGCGACCCACGTTGATGTGCGAGAGAGAACGACAGAGAGATGGTTCTCGTGAAACGGTTCCGTGTGTGTCATACCGTCTGCTTGTCTGGTTTTCTTGCGGACTGGTCGAGAAACGGCTCCTGTTTTGCGGACGTATGGTGGTACGAGTCTCGCGTCTTTACCTGCCGTCGAACGTCAGAATCAATCGTCGACTGGCAACGCGCAAGCCGTATACTAGTGGGCGAGGCGGCCACCGTGTGTGTGAAGGGGAGTTGTATGTGTACGTAGCACGACCTTTGCGGCGCTTAGTGTCGCACGTGCATAGTCATGTTGTTGTTGTTGTCGTCGTCGTCGTTGTCGTTATCTTGTTGCTGTTGTTGTTTGTCATGTTGTCGTCGTCGCCATACTTGAGGCAAGGTAGGATGTTTGTTAGACCCAGCTTGGGTATTTCTTTTGAGAGGACCATAGCTTATCTGTGGAGAGATTTAAGCAGAGACAGCCATAGCGATTAGGTAGAGGGAAAAAAAGAAAACCCTTGGAAACGATTTATGCCCAGGACATAACCTTGTACCCCTCGCACTCTTCGGTGCTATGTTGCCGTGCATGCGCTGGTGTTCGCTGGCGTTTTCATATTCCAACGTTTTCAGGAAATGCCGTCGTACGGGATAATGCCGGACGTGGTCTCGTACAACTCCGCCATCTCGGCTTGCGGGTACCGTGCAAAGTGAGCGGATGCTGTTGTGGTTGCTGCTGCTGTTGCCGCCGTTGTCAGCAACGCTGTTTTATTAGCGTGCTGCTGTTCTTGTTGCTGCTGCTTTGCTGTCGTCTAGGCACGCGGTACGTCTGAAACCGTTCTCTGGTCTCTACCTACGCCTTCAGCAAAGCCAAACCTGCTTCATACCGGCATGCTGGACTGAATCGATGTCACCAAGCCGTGCACAAACACAAAGATTCACTGGGCACTGGTATTGTTTTGTGGCACCTTTCTGGGCTACATGTACAGGTGGGACAAGGCGACGGGTTTGCTTGCGGAACTCTGGCTGGCCGGGTTGAAGCCGGACTGCTACAGCTACTCCTCAGCGATCCACGCTTGTGCGGGAGCGAGCCGCTGGGAGGAGGCCATGAGTCTCCTCAGGGTGTGTTGTGTGTGTCTTTTGAGTATTTGGCATGGTCGACGGCGGGCGGTCAACGGCTGACCGATGGATGAATGTGCGTGGGTCTTGTAGACTACGGGAGACAAGGGAACATGCGGCTTCCGTCCTAGTCGTTGGGCTGTCCTGGAAAGTATCGTTTTTGTGTGTTGGTGTCGTGTGTCCTTCGATTTGTCGCTATCGGCTACCGGGATATCGTGTAGCTGATATTTTGGTATACTAGTGTGGTCAGGTAGTCGTTGTTTCGTCAGCCTTAGTTCCAAGCAGGTGGCGGAAGTCGGTGGATCACGCGCTAAACGTGCCGACCAGACTAAAGATGATGACTAGCGTCGCCGGCTACTGTGATGAGTTGCCGCCCATCCCGTTTGCGATGTATCCTCACCTTCTTGTCGGCTGCATGTTCCATGATCATCCATGATCACCGTCAACATGGACATCGACGGAAACACAAAACCACCGGTGGTATGCATATGTATATACATTCAGGAGATGAAGGCAGTCGGGCTTGGTCCGAATGTCGTGGCCTATGGCGCGGCCATGTCGGCGCTGGCCAACGGGAAGCAGTGGGAGCTGGCACTGGAGCTGCTCGACGAGGTGAGGGTGACGTTCGTTAGTCCTTTGCTTTTGTGACTGCCAAGTTGGCGAGATAAGTGTTGTGCTTATCACCTCAAGGACTTCCAAGATTCGACTACTAATTGTAGATAGTTCATTTCACCCCTTTGCATTTTCGTTTGTTTTTTGTTTTTGTCACAGCCAAGGAAAATCTTGTAGTGTATTAGCAGATACCGTTTCTCGACTTCACTTTTTGATCGTTGCTCCTCTATTCCATAATGTCCAAGTTCATATCTTGTTGTTCGAAACCTACGCGATAAGAATCAAGGCAAGCACACCAGGGGGAAATGTGGGGCAATAAAACAAGCAAAAAGTGAAACAAGCTCCTGTATGGTTTCCTCTTGTATGGCCCCGGCTGATACGTCAGTTATATACGCCGGAAGGTCTGTAAACCGGCGCCAGAATAGATGGGACGAACGCGCGCACACACACACATGCATCCGAAACATGCAATTGTGCCGCACTTGATCCTCACTTTTTTTCCCGAATTTTTTTTGTACCTCCAACGAGTCCGTCTAAATGTTCTTTATCGAACCCCATGTCTGCGTACGAAACGTTTTTGTGCCGTTCTTAACTTCACGGTTGACCAATTGTTGCAAATACCTCTGTTTCCAACGTAGATCTGCTCTTCTGTCGCTGGTGTTGCTGTTTTTGTTTGGGCGAAGGTGTGTGCCCACCCGGAAGAATCCGGGATCCGACCCAACGCTGTCTTGTACGGGGCGGCCATCCGGGCGTGCTCGAGAGCTGGCAAGTGGCGGGTCGGCTTGGAGTTGCTAGAGGTAAGAAAGGCTAGGGAAATGCTGTTCATAGAGGTAGTGTTTTTTTTTTTTTGCGTGTGCTTAAGGTTTCCATGCAAGGACATGGGGTGAGAAGCACTCTGTGTGTCCTGCCGAGATGATCATTGGCTCGCCGGCGCTGCGACCTTTCGGCGCGTTCCTTGCGACCAAAAACACAAAAGTACTCGAGTGCTTCATTCAGTCCCCAGATATAGTGTGTGAAAAACGTTTTCCAAGGACGTTTGCAGATGCCGCAAGTTATCCTTTCTTCTCCTGAAAACCAGATTGAACGCGCCCTCTTTCGCCGGTGTGTAGCACGCAACCCGGAGCCTTAGACCTGGTCTAGACTATGACGTGAGTCTCAGTGCGCTTCTAACTTCTAACGGCGGGTAGTCTGGTGTGTGGTTACGCGTGTGGCCTGCCCGTGTCTCGTTTGAAACGCACCACAGAACATGCACACTGCCTCGGGAGTGACACCGTCGCTAGTGTGCTTCAACGCCGCGCTGCACGGCATGGCCTCCGCGGGGGAGGGCAAGAGGGCCAGGGACCTCATAGAGACCATGCAGAGGGGGCCGAGAATTACGCGGTAAGTGCTGCCGTTGTCTTCTCACATGGTGCAGGGTTGACACCTTTTTAGCAGGGGAAGCGTTGTTCCACAGGAGTTGTGCTTGGTAAACGGTGTCGCTGGTGTACGTGTGGGCTTGACCTTAGCGGGAAAGACGGTGTTTATCTGTCGCTCTCTCGTCATGGTAAATGTTAATGTTGATATTTCGGCCGCGAAGATTCCCACGGCGGCAAGGGATGCCATTTCATGTCATGTCATGTCTGTATGCATACCTGTCGTCTATGTCGCCTTTCCTTTCGTGCACACACGAACGAGATGTACTCACAGACAGCAGGAGCTGCTACTTTCTTTGTTCATCCATTGAACATGTTGGCTAGCGTGTGCGATGGCGCACCTTTGGTTGAACCGTAGGTGCTACGGTGGATTCCCGCCAAACCGTAGATGTGGTAGAGGTGAGCCCATTGTGTGTGAGTTTGTGTTTTATGTTGGTTAGGGCGTCATGTTTTCTTTTTTCGCCTGGTTGGTCCTGTGTGTAAAGACAGTCAGCTGATGGCGGGTGGGGGTTGTGGTTAACGCAGCCTTCGCCCTCGTCTGATTATGATCATGCAAAGGCCCGACCACTACAGCTACAACTCGGCCATCGCGGCGTGTGGTCCAGGGGGGGAGGTGGAAGAGGCACGGGCACTACTAGAGGTACGTCTTGCTGGTGTAGTGGTTATTGTTGTTGTTCGTTCCTTAATCAATGACTCTTCTTTTCTTCGTATCTCACTGTACCACCTACGTTGCACCCCCAAAAAACATGTTCCATATTCAAATGGAGGACAATGTTACACCTTGACAATTTTCTCGCCTGCAGTGTAGCGGATTACACCGCGGAGCCCGTGTGTGCCTTATATTCGGTCCCATTTTTGTTTTTCGTTTGTTTCGTTTTTCGTTTGGTGCTCGTGCTTTCTTCTGCCAGCGTATCTATATATGCTTCAAAGTTGGTCATTGTTTTCTTCCGTTCATGTTTTTTCGCTTGCTTTCTCGTGTGAGTGTTTGCGGCACACCGCCGAACCCGTGTGTGCCGTCTGTGCATATTGTACGGTTCCATCATTTGATTGTTTTCGATTTTCGTCGATTGCCGCTTGTTACGTTCTGTCAGTGTATGCGGCAGCGCGGTACCCCGCCGGACGTGTTTAGTTTCAACGGGGTGATGCAGGCCAACGTTTGGGGTGGTGACTGGGCCGCTGCTCTGGAGGTATGTACAACACGCTCGTTGTGCGTCGCACCCTTGTTTTTGTTTGTTTCCTCGTTCTGAAAAGTGGCACAAGAAGCGCCTTCATGTCCAGTCCTCTTCCTTCCTTCCTTCCTTTCGCCATTGTTTTTGTCGTTGGCCGGTTATTCGTCTAAATAGTTTAAACGATTTCCTATTCGTGCTTCTCACGTTTTCTCCCGACGTATTTTCAGCCGGCTCGACTCCTTTTCGGATGAGCATTTTCGTTCGCGTTGGGGTACTACTGCAGGTGGTACCGTGTGGTTGCAAGCATGCTCTTTCGTAGTGGGGTTACATTCACTTTCACATGGTTGCAAGCATGGCCTCCGAAATTGGCCCCCATTTGGTTGTCACGGAATACCTGACACGGCGATGATCTATGCAGACAGTAGGCACGCGAATGTATGGGCACGTTTGAAGAGGCTGTTGCCCGTCCTTGCGGTAATCGCGCTCGTCCCAGCTGGTTTGTAAACTTAAGGAGCCACGGTATGGATGCACGTTACCGCCAATGATCACGACGAAGACATCATCATAACCCTAACCCTAAGCCTATTTCCTTACTGCTCTCTGCCGTGGGGCTAATTTTCCCCCCAATTTTTCAGCTCCTGGAAGAGATGAAGAACGAGGGCCTGAAGCCCGACGTCGCTAGCTTCAACATTGCGGTGCATGCATGCGCCGTGGGGTGCCAGTGGCAGGTATGGTCTTTCATCTTCTCGTAGACCCCCCCCCCCCCCCCCCCCCCCCCCCCCCCCCCCCCCCCCCCCCCCCCCCCCCCCCCCCCCCCCCCCCNCGTAGACCCCCTCCCCCCCCCCACCCCAAACGCACCTGCTATAATACTGTCTTCGACACAACAGAAACGAACGAACTCTTCCAACCGAACATCGGAGCTGGGGGGGCTCCAAATCTGCGCCCAGACATGCCAGCCGTTTGTGTTTTGTGCTCTCGTTTTTTTGCTTGGGAGGTGCATATTTTGTTTGGGTCAATGGGTTCAGTCTTGTTTGTACAGGTAGTTGGATCTGTTCTGAGTCTGTCTAAGCCATTGCACTGAAGGATGAAGTGATGGCAGTCGGTGCGAAAACACGAATGTTCTGTAGATATAGGTACGCGTTTGATTGAACCTTCCCTGCAAGTCAAGTCTCAGCTGGGTCAAAGACGAACATGCAGAGGGAGAACCCTTCCGTTACGTCGTGTGCTGCTTCTGCCTTTTTTACTGATCTCTCACGACTGTTTGTTTCGTCTGCGGCGATGGGAATACAACCCGTAAACTCTTCCTGCAGCTGAACCGACACCGCTTTTGACTGTGTTGTGGAACGTTTCATGATGACTTGTCGAAGGCGGCGATGGACCTGCTGGACGAGATGGCGGAGGCAGGTCTGGCCATGGACGCCTTCACCTACGCTCACGCCATCGAAGCCTGTTGCAACGGGGGCAACCGAGTAAGAACGCACGAGACCTAATCTAACCCTAAGACCAAAGCGAACCCAACCCTATCCCAACCCTAAGACGAGCCTGAACCTTACCTAACCCTGAGACGAACCCTAACCTGATCTTAAGACGAGACCAGCGCTCGCTGGTACACCGGCAATGGTCGGAAGAAAATGACAGCAGCTTTTGGCCACCATCCAATTTTTGAGAACAAAACGAAGAGTACGGTTGTGGTTGCTTATGGCGATGGCCCGTGCCCTTGTGTGTGCGAACATGGGTCTCTGGGAAGGATACATTGCGTAAAGCGAGCGTCCAATTGCGTTTGAAGGATGTCGCCCCTCCCCCCCCATTTTTTTTTTTTAAGCGTGAGCATACGTGCCTCTAACAAACTTGAACGGCGGGTGGATGAACCAGATGATGGCCGTGGCGCTCGTGCGACAGCTGAGGGACAAGGGCATGCCGCTGCGGATGGCCACTTACAGCGCCGTCACGGAGGCGTTTGGGCCGGACGCGCTGGCCTTAGTCGGTCAAACACCGCCGCCGCCGGAGGCCTTCTTGTACTGATAGATCTCCCCGGGGTGATTGTGTGGATACTGCTTGCTGTGTGGCGGAATACCGTTTACGGTATGTGTAACTCCTTTATTTCAAAACGGGATGCTCGTTCCATCTGGTGGGCCGAGCTCATGAAAACGGTTTTTGGTTGCCAGTTTTGCTCCATGTGGGACGCTCTCCCTTTCGACGACTTGGTTGCGGCGCGGGTTGAGGCCGGCTTGGCTACGACGAGAACCTTCCCTTTTGCCCTTGCTGGCCGCTGTGGTTTGAGCCGGTCAACATGCCCGGCTCCAGGGGGGCGAGGAAGTGTTGTCATGCTACATGCTATTGTAGTGTTGTGCACCAGGTGGGAAGGCTAGGCTAAGCACGCGCATGCACCAATCAATGTTCTTGTTAAATCAATGCTTTGCTAGGCCGTGTTGGTGCTCCGATGCGCCGAGTGTTCGCGAAGAGCGAGCCGTTGAAATCTTAATCTTGTTCCCTGGCTGGGTTGGTTTGCAAGTGCGTAGCCTGAAGCACGCCAGTGACCGATTGACTGACTCGAGTGCAAATGAAAACACGATGAATGGAGGACATCACGCCAGCGCTGAACAACAGATGATTAGACTTGGACATGATGTTTTGGTGGAAGTGTCTTGGACTTGCGTCATTTTTGTTCTCTTTTCCTTTTGCGCGCCCCTCCACAAGACAAGGGAGGTTAGATTTGAGCACTTATCAATAGCGCTCGTCCACTTTGTCAAGAAGAGAAGCAAGTACTACCCATCTCACCCACTATGTGCCAGCTTCTAATTCTTGGCTACAGGGGTATGGAAATTATGAGTCCCATCCGTGGCGCTCGTGTGGCTTCCTTGCATCATGTGCAGGGCTATTTGTTGTCTTGTCGGGCGACTGCGCTTCCGTTTCGGTTCAAGTTCGCCAGGTTCATCTGATCGAAGTTGCTTGAGATCAGGGGGGGCTCCGTCTTATCGTGGTTGTGTATGAACAAAACCGTGGGAATGAGAGGGCGAAGTACCCTTGACTCAGCAGTTTGTGCCGTCAGCGGGGGTTGTTTTACTTCGCAAACGCTGTTGTAGACGCCAGTTTGTCAAGTTTACCTACGGTCAAGCTTGCTACGGTACAAGGCAATGATAGTTGTTTTTTCCATGGCGAGAGAGGGGGATGTGCCAGCGTGTTTTTGTATGCCGTGTGAACGCACAATACAAACCAAACCGCCCATGCAGGGAAGAAATACGGGACAAAGCCTGTACAAAACTAGCAGCAGACTTATCGTAATAGAATGTTTACAAGTAGTCATGATTGCAGACGGTCGGTGAGACGGCAGCAGCAATGGCTGTCAACGACGTGAGGTCCAACTTGCGCTCGGTGCGAGTCAATGTCGATGCGCCTTCAATGATGATGTGCGTTCCTAATTTGGCCGGATCAGTCACAACTTGCTCGCGTCTAAGGCCAGACTCGCGTGAGAGCCGTGGGAATGGGACGTACTAGCAGCCAGTTTGAAGATGGTCAATAGCAGCAGCAGGAAAGCGACAACTCGTTTGACTGACTAACCAAATGTCCCTGTTCGACAGTGCGTGCCACATAAAAAAACACGCAACTTGACACGGCCGAGCAACATACCATACAGCCTCAGCTGCCCAGTTCCACGCAGCGTCCGGGAGCACGACTCGCTAGCATTCGCACCCACTGCCACGCGTACATTGATATGCAAGTTCGTCAAACGCTGTTTGTACTCCGAAACCCGGTTCTTCCTAAACCAACGAACGCAACCAACCCTCCCATTCCCCACGATACATCAAACCCGTCTACGTGGTGGAACATGCCAGCCAACCGATCGCAATGCAAACCACCACAAGCGATCTCATCCTCCCTCCTCTCCCCCCCCTGCCCCGAATGACCCCTCAAGGATGAGACACACAACTTTACATACCTGCCTGATTCCAAAACCGATCTCCTTGTTTAACGCCCCCTACAAAAAACCGTTTCGATCCATTCCACTTCCACAACAAGCCCAGCACCCCGCCCCTGGATCCCACGCCCACAAGCCATTCCATTTAACAAACCGGTTCAAGATGCTCAAGAAAAATAGGTACAGCTTGCACATCGCGGCCGGCCCTCCGAAGGTGTACCATCGAGGGGGGTACGTTCTGGGTCCATCCCCGAAGTTCCCCCCCCTTCCCATTCTCCGTCACCCCCTCAAACAGCGCATGTGTGTACTCCCTTTCATGCGATCTGCACCCACCCTCGGAGACTTGGATGCCGCGTGGCCATTCCCATCTACCCCCCCCCCGTCACCAC